CGACTGCAACCTCCTTGACTTCAAATAGAATTCAAATTCCAATGCACCATTCCATCCTGCATCACAGAGACTGAACCCAATAATGTATTAAACACTTACTCTTTATCTTTACTTTTTTTTACCTCTCTGTTAGTACCTTCCTCTCACTGCCTCATTCCTTTATCATTCCTGCAGATCACTATTTCAAATAAGAGGTCTCAGAATCTCACCATGTGTTATTATTGGTTTAATTTGTTTACAAATGAAGGATTTTCAGGGGTTTTAAAATTTGTCCTTCGAGGGATTGTGTGGTCCAACACTGAACACTCGTCTTTCGCTGAGCCCATAATGGCTGTGCATTCTGTTGTTTTTAATTTTCTGTTGGTGCTTACTCTGTGACATGTGCGGGTAATGCAGTGATTGTTTAATTGTGTTGTTAAGGAACCACTATGTGTGTGTTTGTCTGTGTTTGTGCTTCTGCTGTGAGATTAAATGTATTTATGTTTTTGCTGGAAAAGGTGAAATACATGATCACATGCTGAATGTAAAGACCAATCAAAGTCAATAAAATTATAGCACATAATTTTGTTTATTTTGTTTTGTTGTCAGGCGTGAGGAACTATATTCAAATTACCATATATGTGACCCTGAACCACAAAACAAAAAGATACATTATCTGAAAGCTGAATAAATAATAATCCTAAATTTGAAAGGATAGCAATATTTAGCTGAGATACAACTGTTTGAAAATCTGGAATCTGAAAATCAAAATAATGAGAAAATCGCCTTTAAAATTGTCCAAATTAAGTCCTTAGCAATGCATATTACTAATCAAAAATTAAGTTTTGATATGTTTACAGTAGGACATTTACAAAATATCTTCATGGAATGTGATCTTAATATCTTAATGATTTTTGGCATAAAAGAAAAATCGATAATTTTTACCCATACAATGAATTGTTGGCTATTGCTACAAATATACCCGTGCTACTTATGACTGCTTTTGTGGTCCAGGGTCACATATGCACTGATTTTACAGAATTATTGGAAGGAAATGACTGTCATATAAAAATGACTCAAATATCACTCTCTGTTTCCTTAAAACAAGTACCATGGCAGCACCAGTGTACAGTAATACCAGGGCACTGTTATAAAACAGTAAGTCCAGGGCTAATAAGGATGTCCAGAAATATTTTAATAATATTTTAGAATTTCATGTTTTCATGTTGGTTTCATAGTTTTTATTTAATGACTCTTTTTAATTAATCTTTTTTCATTATAAAATGTCAAGTGGTGTAACATCAGACAGAAAGTACTAAAATATTTTATATCTACAAAATATAGCCTACTGACATAAATATATTGACATTGCCGACACAGTAATGACGATCAAAAATAGCTTGGTTACACCACACTGACATTGATTTAAAATTATGAAAAATCTTGCATTAAATTGTAGAATACAAACTCTCATCATCATTCCCGGGTGTAGCCTAAATGTCAAGTGGTGTAACATCAGACAGAAAGTACTAAAATATTTTATATCTATAGTCTACAAAATATAGCCTACTAACATATATATATTGACATTGCCTACACAGTAATGACGATCAAAAATAGCTTGGTTACACCACACTGACATTGATTTAAAATTATGAAAAATCTTGCATTAAATTGGAAAATACAAAACTAGCACTCTCGTCATCACTCCTGGGTGTAGCCTATGTGTGTGGTTTATAATATATAAATATAAAAGTTTGCATGTGAACACTTTTTGGTGCTAAAACATGTCACTAAAACGTAAACGTATTCCTCTCTCGTTTGTTTTGGTGCAAATCGCCTCTACACAGTATCACAATAAATTGATGACGTAAAGGATGACAAATCTCAAGTTTGGCAAATGCACGAGGGCACTCATTCACTCACAGCTGCGCGTGGGAACGGAGCATAATCGCGCGCGCTCGTCTGCATCATTTATTAGCGCATGCAGCGCTCCATCTTATTTCAATGGGCTGCGGTGGGAGTCGAGCAGATGCTATTGAACCGCGATATCATGAGAGCTGGACCAGAGAAACCGAATCGACGTGGCTTACCAATACTGATGCTGAAATCCCCAACGGCGTGACTTCTAAGAACCGCGTCGTGCGTGGAGAATCTAGCCATCTTATTAAAGACAATTCAAAACTATCAGGTATATGCTGTTTTTGGTAAAAGTAACAGAGTTACAATATGTATACACGTATGGTTGAAAATATAAGCTATTTATCTGATGTAAATGCTTTAAGATGCTGAGTTTTTTCTCTAAATTAAAATCCAAGTTGGTTTGGCTTCATTATTCTCTTTTGAAATCTCATTTAGTCCTAAAATAGTTTTTAATTTAGGCAAAAAAAAAAAAAAAGCTTTTTGTGACATATTGTCACTTCCTCTCCAGGTAGAGGTATGGAGGCCAGATCCTGTGGAGACAGAGGCAGACAGATGGTTAATGCAGGAACTCAATGTGGAAAGCAGGTTTTGACTTCCAGCACCTGCACAAACCATCGAAAAACATCCTGCAGTCATGAGGTTTCAGTCACTGAATAAAAAACTAACAGGTATTTATGAAATAGTACACATTGAAAGGTCTCATATGCATAATTCGTCAAACTTCAGGGTTTTGACAATGTAGCCTACAGGCAAAGCAGGCTGAAAGAACAGCTGTGTCAATGTTTGAATAACATTAAGTCTGCTTTTCGTTCGATATATGGTGACAGCTTGTTTGTGTTTTACAGCAGATAAGTGACTCAAAGCAGACAATGCACAAGGAGGAAACTACTCATTCAGAAGGGGTCATCTAATGCTGCATCTAACCCAGGGGAGCCATGAGGAGAAAACAACCCCATCTTTGTCTGATGCAGAGGATACACTCTGAAACCCAGAGGAGTTCAGCGATGTCGATTATGGGCTATATAAGAAACCATAAGCTGTAAAGAGAAATAGAGTTTCACAAGAGATGATATCTTTTTAATGCACACTTAGCCTATAGAAATATGCTTTGCTTTAGTTTGTTGCAAAACTTGGTTAAAAAGTTGCATCTGATCATTAGCATGGCAAATATAGATTTTAGTCAACCCTGATATCCTCACAGGAGTTACTGAGCAAAGCACATTCATAATGTTAATACATTCAAGTTCATAAAATAAATTCACGTTCATAATGTTGCACAAAGGAGTTATTGCTCGCAATTAATAATAGCTCTCTGATTTTCACTGTGCAATTTGAATGCTAATTACATATTTTAAAAGACAAGGCTACTGAATATTTTTGTCATGCCTAAACACTTGTAAAAACACAACAACAATTAATTGATTGGTTGGTTAATATTATGGCCCTCGTTCTTTATGTTTTTATTTATGTTTTTTGGTAATTCCATTCTTGTAAATACTGTAGTTTACTGCAAATTGCAAGGTATTTTTGGCATGTATCTGAAATAATTAATTATTACATTTTAATTGATTTACATTTAGCAGACGCATTTATCCAAAGCGACGTGTTAGAGTTAGAGGGTCAAATAAAGGTGTTTAAGTTAAAATTTATTTTATTTAGTGTGACAAAATATTTTTTTTTACCCTGCTTTATTTATTATGGACAGCTAAGTGCTGTAAAATCACTGGAACCACTAGATGGAGCAGTTTATCTTACATTACCTGTACATAGTTTTACCAGATCTTAATGCTACATCACAAAATAGACTATTTCTTTTATAGAAATGTTTAACTTATCCCAGAACTATGTTAATTAATGTCAAGTACAAAGAGCAATGTTGTTACCTCTAGAAACATGTATGATGCAACATTGTTTTTGTGTGTAAATTTTATTTAAACTCTACTGTCCAACACAATAATTATGCCATCCCTTATCAGCATCACTTCACAACAATTGAAATTCAAAATGGTAATCATGTAGGAAATGTTTTTATGATTCATAACAGCAAATAAAATACCAAATATAGAAATGCATTAACACAGTTTACTCCGAAAACATATCTGACACATTGTGTAGTCACCTTCACACTCCAGGGACAGAGGCTGCAAATTTGTATGTGCAGAGCATCTGCTGCATGAAATGTAATGCTATTCTTTCTCAATGTCCAGGAACATAAATAAATAAAACAAATGGGGCATATTTAAGTCTCTACTGATTTTTGCAATATGCTATTTGTTGCTCTTGAAAAGAGCTGTGAAGTGTTACAACCAACCACCACTATATATTAACCACCAGTATATGTGCTGTATTAACTTACACAAGATAACCTGCTGTTTAAGATTTTACCAATTTAGTTTTATACTATATCCATTACCAAGCAAATCAAATTATAAACCAGACATGATATTGAACTTTATTACCTCAAAGATCCCGTAAATCTTTTTTTTTTTTTTTGCTTTTACCATTTCAATTACTATAGCTGTCGCTCATTTGGTTAAGCCAATAGAGTCCCTGTGTCTACATTAAATCCACAATTTAGATTGCAATTTTGAGTTGTCACCTTTTTATAGAGAAAAGGGTACAGCAGCCTAATTATTAATGAATCAGCTTTAATTGGGCAATCTAAATGTTAATCTATTTGAATTTAGCACAGGCCACTGGTGCAAAGCCTAGGCTTACTGTTATTCCTCAATCATTTGACTGGCACCAAGCGTATTTGCATACCAAATAATTGTACATTTAACGGGTTAACATTTAAATTTCACAGTTAGATTTAAATTAAACGTTTTCAATCATATTTAGGTCAAGATTTAACATATGTAGCCTACTAACATTAACTTTCAGATGTGTTCGCTTGTTATTTTTTAAAACATTAGACACTGTAAACAAACCATTTCTGGCTACGCGTTTTGGCTAATTCTAAAGTTCTTACATTATTATAAAATGTGGTAAAAGTCTTCTTAACAGTTTGTTTTGTGAAACACCTGGCTGAGGATTTGACTGACTCTGAGACCATGCAGAAAAGTCATCCGAGCGTCTCTCAGAGGCTAACAGCAGCAGCTGCGCGAGCTCAGAAGTAGCGTCACAGACAGCAGAGGAGGACACGCGCGCGCTGCTTCTAGATGACAGACCTAACGTAAACATACCTTTCCTGCCTCTTTATCACCCTAACACAGTCTCTCCTGCTCTCGGGAAGCCTGGAGAAGAAGAATGACTGACGGAGGAATGCTAATCTTACCGTCGGCTCTCCAGGATCCCGGGGATGGAGCGAAACCTGAAGAAATCAGTATGGATTGTACGGACGGGGAAGATGAATTGTGTTTGGAAGAGATTTTAACTCTGTACAGTCAGCCGATCAACGAGGAGCAAGCCTGGGCCGTGCTGGAAATAGCATGTATTCCAACTAGAAAAATTTAATATGAAAGTGTAATCTCTGAAGATCATGAGAAGCCTAAAATATAGGTTAATCTGAGATTGATAACGCTTTCACTTTCTGTCATACAAGGTGCTGTGATTGCATAAAAAGCATCAGAATATATTGCAGATTTGTCACAGATGTTGTTGCTAGTATTTTCCATTAACAAATATTAATATACGAACATTAACATATTTAGTAATCCACTTGCTGGCTCTATTTTAAATTAATTGTCTGACTAAGCTAAAAAATATGAATATTTATTAAAAAGAAATAAATACAGAGTAATTTTTAGCAGCATGGGTTTGCACCTTTTCCTTTTTGTCCCAATTTTGGTTAGTAACTTTCCTATTGAGTCAACACCCTTGTGAATGGCTTTCCATGGTAAGAAGGTCACATTGTAAAGGATGAATTATTTCCAGTGATCTTTCATTTTTATAGGAAGATAATATTACAGTATTTGTCTGTTTTCATACAACAATGTAATTGGCATCTGTTTTGTGCTAAAAGACAAAAGAACCTCTTCAAAAACACCTCTTTCATGTCCGGATGGTGCAGGTTAGACTCTATGAGGATTCAGTTTCAGACGTCTTTGCACATTTTCAGTTATATGTGAGTTTCAGTTGTTGAAAGTGGCCGTTGCAATGACACTGGGTTCATTCATTAGGGGGAGAAATGAACTCTGGGTCTCAGCCAATCTCAGAGGAGGCTCTTTCTTTTAACGCTGTAACATTATACTTCCAGTGCCACTGAAGGAAGGGCTAAAAGACAGACATTATGATTCTAACCCCAGTGTGTTGTGTATTTCAGGCTCAATGGGCACAAATTGCGTCTCTGTCTGCCTCTTATAGATTTGAGTTAAATATTTAATGTGAAGGTTGTCTGAGGTGAACCCCTGGGTCCCTCTGTGTAATATAGAAATGGGGGAGGGGGTTTGTCATGGTCAATTTCCCTTCTATGAAATTTATTCATGGCTGCAACCCATACTGCACACTTCTCTAGAAAGATGCTGTTAATTAACAGTGCTTGCTAAGGTCAGCATCTCTTTTATTATTGCATAATCATATGCATTAAAATTAAGCGCCTATCTCGTCCCACATCATTTGTGCTTCGGAAATGAATGTTACCTCAAATCATGTGGCATGTTGAGGTGTGATATTTACCTTTTTGATTTTTGGTTCCAATTAAAAACAAACAAATAAACCTTTAGACTTGCATTGAAAGATGGACCGAGTAATACCGTCTCTTTTTTTCTCTTTGGACCAAAAAAAAACATTCAGAACATCCTATGAACTGCATACCGATGCATTAGCAACCACCAGTTCTAGCCACAAAATAGAGTGCGACAGTCAGGTTTCGAAGTAAAAATGTTATTTACTTTCTCCATAAGCAAATATATTTTTTAGTAATTACTTATAAACCATTAAAGACGGACTTACTGTGATCTTTGAGGTTGGTAATCAATGGTACATGCTGAAGCCATCAGCATGCATTTTGTCAACTATTTTTTTTTATAATCATGTTTAACCGCATAATTGGTGAAAAACTATATTACCCATGATTTTGCAAAGAAATCTGCACCAATCATAGAATCAAAACAAACAAATCACGCCAAAAGAACTCTTTAGCACTCACCTGCTCCCATGAAGAGCTGCGAATGACGTAACAGTCAATCTCCCTACACTCTCAAACTACTTAAATATTTATGTATCTATGCATATTAGGCAAAAAAAACTTAAAATATATTATTTCCAAACACATAATCAACATCAATAGTTTTATATTTCTCCATGTAATTCAATTATATCACTTCTTGTTGTTCTTTTCTGCATTAAAACCATTAAACACAGTCTTGTACCTTGTATATTTTAAATACTTTTTAAATACGTTTTTGCTTCAAATAAAAGTGTGTAATGTTTTGATTGACCTCATACAATAGAAATAAATACATAGGAAAAATAGGCTGCATAAATAATACTTCTGTAACTAAGGCTGCAGAAAAAGTACTATTGCATAGTACTATTGCCAGTACAGAGCAACTTCAATCAACAATTGCAATAGCAGCACACTAACAACCACCCAGAACACCTTAGCAATAGGGTTGGGTATCGTTTGGGTTTTTTACGATACCGGTGCCAAATCGATACTTTTAAAACCGTACCGGTGCCTGAACCGATACTTTAAAAAAAATTACCCAAAATAGGATGGATTGGCCATTATTGAGCGCTATAAACACATTTAATGTCTGTTTCATTCATACTGGACGCCAGAGGGCGCCCTCGTGCAGAAATGCCACATGTGCATCACAGAAGGAATAGGACTCAGGAAATCTCTAATATGGACAAAGGCATTGCTATAGCTGTAACTGAGTAAACAGAAGATATAAACGTTTTGAATGATAAAACAAAGACAATAAACACTCGACTGTGACAATGTATAGTTTGTCGGTGTTATTCAAGCCATCGCTGGTATTTTCATCATAATTAAGTATATTTATAATCCATTGCTAATCAACATAGCCTTTTTAACATATGCTTTTTACAGTATAGAACATATTTTCTGCCTCATTCTGTGACAAGAAGCCACATCAGATCACAAAAGGAAGCATTTGTGGAGTAAAAACTTTATAGTGTTCTCTTTTGTTGGACAACAGGTTTAGAAACGATTCTCATTGCAAGTCATTACAAGGGAAGTTTAGCTTTAGGCATTTTAATTTAAGAATGTTTATCTTATCTGTCTAGCTAATGTTTATCTCCTATCTAGCTAGCTAACTGTATCTACCAGCTGCCATCAGAGCAAGTGTAACTGCTGCATTCACGCGCTCCTCGGATGCTCTCATTTCCCGAGTTGTGCTTTTAAGTCGGAATGTGAAAACAACATGGGCACTCGCGTTATTATAAAGATGTGTTGGATTTGTATTATTAGAGCTTTTCGACTTGCGTTTGTGAATTTTCTCAGTTGGGAAATTATTTTTCACGTGCGGTGCCGGTGATCCTTACGTCAGTTTCGGCGAACCAGAGAACAAATATTTCAATCGATCGCTCAAGCATTTAAGTGGCACCGAAATGAGGCACCGAAATCTGCGTTCTGATTCGGTTCTAGTACATACTGGTTACATGGGTACCCAACCCTACATCGGTACCCAACCCTACTTAGCAAAACACCCTGGCAACCGCCTAACAATCCTTGACACATTAGCAACTACCCAGAATTGAAAAAAAAACTATCTCTAGATGGTCAAGCTTGTTGATAAAGAGAAAATTGTAACATATGTGAAAAATGAATGATTTGTGGTATGTGAATTTAAAACACTGAGTGTGATAATGCATATCTGATTGGTTTCTCTTTATTTTTTCTTCTCCCCATTACAGATAAACACATCCCGCCCAGTACATCAATAGAGGTGAGTTATGTTCGCTTTTGTCGAGGTGCCAGACTGGTTTTTGACTTTTGAGAGAAATGAGTCATTCTGTTGCTATATTTGGTTTCGGGCATCATCTTGACAAGCCATCCTGAGGAAAAAGCTAGTTTTCTTCTCAGTATGTTTGGTTTCTGAAGGTTTCTAGATGCAGGTTTATTTTTGCTGACTCTGTGCTGCTGTCTGTGTCCATGGTGTGGATACTTGCCAATGAGATTTAGGTGTGAGTGGTTTTCAGTAGTGTCTGCGTCGATGGCAACCTCATTGTCTTGATGGTATTTATTAGCTGTTTGTTCTTTGTCGGTGTGACAACCATGTGGATCTCAGTCTGCCTCAAAGATTGAGTGTTTTGGTCTCTAAAGCTCTCTGCCACTTTGGGAAGTAGCCAGAGCTTTGCTGTAATCCATTCGGAAATAGTTTTCCCAAGCTTTTCAGCACCAAGAGATCTCCTGTTGTCCGACCCAAACAGAACAAGACATATTTACTGCCTTTTGATTTAGTAAACAAGAGAGTCCTCTCTTGTACTGTGGTACTGTGTGTTATGCTAAAAATACTGAAGATCTTTTGGCTAAATGTGATAGATTTTAAAATGCCCTCAGCGGTAACAGATGGGTCCACAGGAGGGATGCGCACATGCAAGCACGCGCCCACACAGCAACACACACACAGACTGGCAAACAAAAAGAACACATGCGGCTGTGCATGCATGCATTCGGAGCCTTCTCTGAACGAGATTATCAACAGAGCTCTAGATGCTAGACTCGTGACCGTGAATGGGAGGATATTCAAAGAGGAGAACAGCAGGGCCCTGCCTATTCTGCACACAAACACTATCTCTTCTCCTATTGAGTTGATACATAGCAAAGATATGCCATTTTGTAAACATTCGTGAACCATGTGACAACATTCAATAATTTAATGTTCTTTAAGTTGAATAGTGTCTGTTCCTTGCTGATGTATGTAATGTGAGCAATTCAAATCGGCCATAAATTCCGTTTTACTCACCCTCATGTTGTTCAAAATTGTGTGACTTGCTTTCGTACGTGGAACACAAAAGGAGACATTTTGAATAATGTGCTGGTTGCTCTTTTACATGCAATTGCCATGAGGGAAGAGCGGAGTTTTCAAGCTTCAAAAAAGACTAAAGTGAGATAAAAGTATCATAAAATGATCCATATTTCGTGTCTACTGAAATCAAATGATAGTGTTGTGTGAGAACCAGACCTATACTGATAATCTTAATAGAATAGAGTAGCTATGATTGGTTGTTGCTATGTCCAACAAGCCACGCCACACATCATGTTCTCACGCAGTGAAAAATACATTGCGGAGCAAAGAGAAAACTGACAGCTTGCCAACAGACAAGACTGAGCAGGTTACTTCTGGTATGAAACAAAGTCTTAGCTTTCAAATTGTCTTTTTTAAAAAGAAATTCAAACGGTAAATACCGTTTTGTGGTTCTTTAATGTGTCGTGACAGATTGCTGTAGTGCCTCAGTTCAAGTGGCATGTGAACCCATCATCTTTTCATATTTACTATACAGCATGAAATAAACATGAATGAACATCAGAAGGTGTTTTATTTTAACCGCAGAAAGATGTCAGTACACCATTTTTCAAGTTTAAGTTCACCAACATTAATCTACTCTCCTGTCTGATTTGTTTGTCGGACCAAATGGCAGATTCAGCATTGGGATTGGTCAGATCACCTGCCAATCAAGCTCCCTGCGAAGGGACAATAGCATGGAAAAGAGCAACCCCCACAATCTTAAAATATCTCCTTTCGTGCTCCACTGAAAAATAAAGTCTTGCAGGTTTGGAACAACATGAGGGTAAGTAACGGATGACAGAATCTTTGTTTGTACATAATGTTTCATGTGTACACTTAGTGAGATCAGAGCTTTAGGCTAAGGCGTCCTCCTCATCATAAAGCCTACACTGTCTGAGGGCAGTAATGAGACAGGGTGTGTGTGTGTGCCCTGTTCTGCATGACTGGACCTCTGGCTCAGCGATCATGTGATGTTTTAGTATGTGTGTTTAAGACCTCGCCCTCATTTGAGCGCTGCATCTACACTGAATGAAGTGTTAGCAAACTGTTGCTCGCCACAGACAGGCCACGTCCACATCCCCCTCTGGATGTGTCCCAAACCGACTGCCCAGTGAGTCAGAGACTTAACTGTAGTGTTTTTGCATGAAAGTGCCTCCTAAGGAATCTGGTTTCAGATAGGCATCATAATGTTCCACCTAATAATCTACAACAGATTCAAGTGAGCTTAAAATATGACAACGGGATTTTTTTTTATTGCTGCAATACTTATTTTTTAGCAGAAGAGTCAATGATGAGTAGTCAGTTTATTAATTTCTGTTTCATGTGGTTTGAATTTTTTGTTTTCCAAATTAAAAGTTTAAATTTAATGACTCAAAAATGTCATGTGGTCTAACATACATCTTAATCTTTATATAATAATGTTTGTTAAAATATTACTTTTTCTAAAAAAAAATGCAAATAAAAGATGATTATTTCCAAACTCTTCAGTAAGGGTTTCTTTTCAGAAATTTAATTTCTTTAATTGGGCTACTTCGTTGTGATATCAGGACAGTTGTATCGCCCTGATATTTTTGACTTTGTCTCAAAAATGAATTTTTATTTCGAATGTAAAAACCTCATAAAAGAAGGTCATTTTGTAATGTATTTTGAATAAATTAATGGATGGGACAAAAAAAAAGCCTTGTGCAGTAATATTTATTTTAATAATAGTATTAATAGTTTGAATTAGCTTTAGTGTTTATTTAAATTTTTAACTTTTAGTTTAGGTTTTAGTAATTTGATGTGGTTTTGTCATTTTTGTTATTTTTTTCTATTTATATTTCAGTTTTTAGTCATTTTATTACTTTAACTTAAACACCTTTTATTTCACTTAATGGCCAAAGTAGAATTTCTAATTTTTTTCAAAGTTTTTCAACTTTTAGTTTTCATCTAATATTTGTATTTTATTTCAGCTTTACTTCAATTAATGAAAACAGTTTTTAGTGGTTAACAAGAACAACACTGCCCTTGTGTCATTGACCCATATATCATAGGCAGTGAAGGTCACATTTGTGCTATACCCTCAAAAACTAACCAGATGAAGACATCTTGCAGGACAGGATGATTTTTCAGCTCAAAATAACCATTATTTGTTAATAGTTAACAGTTAAGCATTAGTTGTCAATGCAGAATCATATCGATCCTTCTCCAAAATGCTGTTGATTGGGGAAGTGCTCTCTGTTGGGCTTCATCCGGCCCACTCTGGCCTTTGGCAGTTCACCCGGACAGAATAAGGCGAGCTGACCCAGTTTTTCCCCATTAACTCAGTACTATTGGCAGGACTCAAATACGTTATAAATAGGAGAATAGTGATCACATTTAGATGCCTTGGCTTCTCACCAGGGACCTTCAGCTAAAAACAAACCACTCCATCAAAATCAGACTGAGAAAGTTGTGGGTTTCCAAGTGCTTCCATATTCACCATTGTGCATCCGCCAACTGGTCATTAAACATTTTATGACCTACAAGCTCTGAAAGATGAAAGATACAAATTTTGACCCATAGGCATCTTGGCAGTTTATTGAAAAATCGTGAGGATCACTGTGTTTCCTCCCCCAAGGTGCACAGTCAAAAGAGGATTAGGCCCAAGAACCAGTTCAGTGGCTAAAGTGGGATTATCAGACCTCTTAATGAGAGTTTCTTTAAGCTACAGGTCGTACTACCTGTCTGTGGTTCTGGTCTCGAGGGAGAGGCTGCTGTTAGACCAGTTTTGGATGAGGAGTAGGAATGCTGAAGGTCTGTAAAACACCTGTCGAGACTCTTGTAAATTCCCAATACAGCTTCCCCTTCAGTGACTGATGTTTTTTAACAATCCATGTCTGAAATACCCCTCGTCTCACTTTCACTTTCTCTTTTTTTCGTTGTTGTGCGGGGTTGGAGAACTTGTTAGCTGTGAGCTTGAAGCGCTCGTGGTTTAATCCCCAGAGGTTTTCTTTATCACTGCACAAAGCCTGTTTCTTTCAGCTCGCTGCATAACTTTCCTTCCTCAGCTGACGGTGTGAGTGTGTTTGTGTGTTAGGATGAGGTAGAATGTGTGAGTACTTTGGCCTAATCACACACAGCCTTGACGCACAACCTTAATTTTCCTATTCACATTTGGTGCCAATTTACGCACAACCATTACTTTTTAGTCACGTAATAAACCTCAAATTACATGTTGTTCTCTTATGTTGTCTCGTGCCTTCTGGAAGATTCTCTGAATTTCAGGTGGTTTACAGTTGAAGAACAAGACATGAAGACTCTGATCTCTAGCCAGACATAATCTTGACCCATATATCTAGGTCTGTCATGATTATTACATAACAGCCTGATCTATTATTATTTGATATAATCGTGATTATTTGAGGGAATAATTTAAGTCAGTATTGAAGTACACACTATATTTTTTTATATGTATTTATTTCAGTGTTGTACACAAAAATTATTGGAGTAAGTTTTACAAGAAAATACTATTTCAGTTTTTCTACTTTTCATGTTTAATTCAGTGTGTTACTTGATGAAATTTACTAGCAATTTCTAAATGAAAATTGTTTCTACACCATTTTTTTTTTCAATGAAGTGTGGTTTAATTTAATTAATAAACCACCATAAAAAGCCATGTGAAAGGGAAGAAATACTATTTTATTTTTGTCATATTACTGTATGGTGATGATGATAATAATACAAATATTGTTTATCATAATTATTTAATTTTCTTTTTATCAAATTATTAATTTTTAAAGTGTTGTAGTATTGAAAATATAAAATGTAATATAATTTGCATTTTACATGATGTAATAAATATTATATTTATTAATTTATTATAATACTATTGGAAATTATCATGAATTTTGTTTACATGTTTCCTAATTCAGTGTGAAATTCTTGCATATTTAAGCATACTCTATAGCTAATATGAA